TGCGCCGAGATCCCTTACGAGGAGCTGTGGGTGCATCAGGCCCCCGAGAACCTCGCCGATGCCCGTGTCCGTCCAGGGCTGCCAGGGCCGGACCTAATCTCCTTCGGGACTGTGGGGACCCCACGTCATGAGCCCGAGGCACCACCGCCTCCTGTACCCCCCAAATCCGAGGCGGTGAGTCAGCTTTGCTCTGTCTTCGAGGGAACTTGGGCAGGTTTTAGAGGCCCACAGAGGTATTGACACCCGGGCTCCTCGGATGTGACAGGATGACTAGAGCTAAGAGGGAAGGGGAGAGGGGAACAAACCAGAGCAATCACACAAGGCAGGAAGAACTAAGGGTGAACTGGAAACAGAGTTACCCGAAGGGAAAGTTTCAATGTCGTAAATGTCCGGAAATCACTTCCAGCAACCCTTAGGTTCCATGGGCGTTAGAACCACATTATAGGCTTTGAGATGCTCTGCGCTGAGGAGGAGTTTTGTTTGTTTGTTTGTTTTGTTTTTTCGAGACAGGGTTTCTCTGTGTAGCTTTGGAGCCTATCCTGGCACTCGCTCTGGAGACCAGGCAGGTGGAACTCACAGAGATCCACCTGCCTCTGCTTCCCGAGTTCTGGGATTAAAGGCGAGCGCCACCAACGCCCGGCGCTGAGGAGGATTTTTAACAGGTCCCCGTTTATGTCTTCAAGACATTTCCCTCAGCAGTCATACCTATTAGCACACTCTTTGTGGGGACTTAATTTGGAAGGATCCAGGTGGTAGATCCTGCCCCTCCCTTTTGTCCTTGTCACCAATCCTGCCCCCCCCAAGGAATATCTCTATCTGCTCCTCCCCCAATCTACTAATATTCACAGTGAATTTATGGTGGATTAGGGGACTATTGTGGGCCCAGTGTGAGGGGCAAAACTGGCTGTAGATGGGCCAAGTGGGTAGCTGGGTTATCTAGCTAGACAGGGCAGTCTCCCTGCTGGGTGGGGTAAGGTGTCAGGCACAGACCCACAGTCCCACCTGCTTAGGAAGTGAGACAAGGAGGGCCAGCTGCCTAGTGAGGCAGTCACCTTCTGTCTGCAGGTAAAGGAAGAGTGCCGCCTCCTTCATGCCCCTCCCGTACCTCCTCGGGGTGGCAGCTGGGGCAGGCTCACAGGCAGCCCGCCAGTGCCGCCCCGCTTTCCCAAGGTGCAGCCCGTCCACTCGCCCAGCTCCAGCCTCTCCTATTACTCTTCTGGCCTGCAGGATGGGTGAGTCACTGCCTTGGTACCTGGTTTTGCTCAGATGTGTGGAGTGGTGGTGGGTGGGCATCCCTGCACTGGGACTGGGTTCCGCTGCAGGAAAGCACTGTTGTTCTCTCTCTCTCTCTCTCTCTCTCTCTCTCTCTCTCTCTCTCTCCCTCCCTTTCTCCCCCCAACCCCCGCTCTCCGTCCTTCTATATTGATTTTATTTTATGCGTATGAGTGTTTTGTCTGTATGTATGTATGGAGGTCAGAAGAGGGCATCAGACCCCCTGGAACTGAAGTTATGGTTGGTTATGCGCCACCATGTGGGTGTTGGGAATAAACCTGGGCTTTGAGCAAGAACAACAAGTGCTCTTAACCACTGAGCCCAATCTTCAGCCTTGAGATCACCTGTTTTTCAATTTGTGCATTCTCAGTTTTAATTTCTCGTGCATGTTCTGCCATGATCTGGGGGCTTTGGGGTTGTAGGGCTAGGCAGCTTTGGTGAGAGTGGAGGGATGGTCTCCTGCTGCAGGCTGTGGGGGCCTGTGACTGTCCCTTCCCTCTCTCTCTGCCTTATGTGCACACCCTGTGTGTCTGTCTCTGTTTATAGGGCAGGATCCCGCAGTGGCAGTGGCTCTCCCTCACCGGATGCATACTCCCTCTATTGCTACCCTTGCACCTGGGGAGATTGCAAAGCCAGTGAATCCTCTAGTCGCTCGCCCCCAGGACCAATGCCGTCTACCACCACTCAGCCCAGCCAGGCCTCCAGAGCCCTAGCAGAGCCCGTGAGTGCTCGAACCACCTCCCTTGTAGGGCCAGACACCCCAGTGGTTAAAAACTACCATGGCTGTCCACCTCTGTTCAAGCCCTCCCATTCCCAGAAGCGCTTTGCTCCGTTCGGTGCGCTCAACCCCTTCTCTGGGCCTGCACACCCTTCAGGTTCTCCAGCAGCCTCTTCCTCTGGGTCCACATCCACCTCGGGTGCCCTGGCTACCTCCAGCCCCACACATTCACCAGGCCCAGGCCCAGGCCCTCAGGGCCAAGGTTACTCCTCCTCCTTATCATCCTCTGAGTGGCAGGAGCCAGCACTGGAGCCCTTGGACCCATTTGAGCTGGGGCAGGCTAGTCCTCCTGAGCTGGAGCTGCTGCGCTGCCAGGAGCCCAGAGCTGTGGGGGCACCTGGGTCTGGACCCTGCCTTTCACCGCTTGGTCCTCCCAAGGCCTTTGAGCCTGAAGGTTTGGTGCTGAGGCAGGTCTCGTCCTCATTGACACCAGCTGCCTTGCAGGGGCCTGAGACAGGAGGAACCCTACTCTTTCTCACCCAAGGGGGCCTGGAAGGGCCTCCTGGCAGTCCCAGGGAGGGGGCCACAGCCACTGGAGTCCGGGATGCCACCTCCTGGCAGCCACCAGCAGACTTGTCCGCCCTCTCCCTGGAAGAGGTCTCACGCAGCCTGCGCTTCATTGGGCTCTCAGAGGACGTGGTGAGCTTCTTTGCCCGAGAACGCATTGATGGAAGTATCTTCGTGCAACTCAGTGAAGACATCTTGGCTGATGACTTCCACCTCACCAAGCTTCAGGTCAAGAAGATCATGCAGTTCATCAAAGGCTGGAGACCCAAGATCTGAACTATCTGGCCAGCAGCTATATAGCCTGAATATTGGGAGTGGAGGCCATGGGGTCTGCCAGAAACAGCACTCCCAGGGGCCTTCCCACAGGGAAAATCTGGGCCAAGACTGAGGCTGCTCTGTAGGTTCTGAGTGTTCCAGGGGAGACACACTGGGAACTGTGGGCCTCTGGGACAGATCCTGCAGGAGCATGTCCTGCGTTTGTGAAGAAAACTTGGGGAGGAGGTGCTGCTGTGCACCTGCCCTCGGGGGGGACCTTTTGCTGCCTTCCCATAGCAGGGTAAAGATAGAGTGTGTCAACAGGTGGCTCTACGGTGGCAGAATGCAGCCTTTCAGATGTCACACACTTCTCAGCCCTTCACGTTCAGGTTAGAGAGCAAGGGAAGATGGCTCAGAGCTTTTGTAGTTTCCCCAAAGCACCCTCTCCTTCATCCTCTGTGCATTTTGGTCTACAGCTGCTCCAGAGTTAGGGGTGTCACTTCAGTCAATGAGGTACCCTCTTTCCATCTGCTCCCATGATTAGGCACTTGGCGCTGTGTATGCCCAGTACCCGAGTCTCTGCTTTGGGCTTTGCTCTGTCATCATCACAGCTACTTAAGGTTTCCCATGGGGCAGTCTGAAGACAGTTCCTGGGAGACGGGGAGAGTGGCTAGATGTAGGCTAGAAGCTCATCTTTGATTCTAGAAACAAGCAGTGATCAGATACTCCCACGCTGCCTGTCTCCCACTGTCAGTGTTTGGCTCTGAAGGACACTTGGGGTCTTTCTTGGTTGTCACTGGGACAGGACAGTGTGGCTGGTAAAGGGAGGCAGGTGGCTCAGGAAAGATGCTGGTTCGAGATCAGCCCTGTACTTACACATTTGCAGATGATTTCTGGGCCCCTCAGTCTCAAGTGTGGTAATCTGTGTGACAGCAAGAGGCCTGGCTAATGCACAAGCCCCACCCCCACTCTTCTTCAGCACCTCTAACAAGAACCACACCCCTCATGACCTCTGGTGTATGTGTGTGTGGGGGGGCAGAGGTGGCAGTTTTCTTGTCTGCCTTCCCTGACCTACCTAGATATTTATTTCTTGAGGTTTCTTTACCAATAGTTAAGCCCTGCCCACACCTGTGCCAGTCAGAGGGGAACCTGGAAGCTGTTTGTCTTCTCACAACTAATGAACCCTCAAGGATTAGGGAAATAAAGGCTAGACCACAAAGTAGTCAAAGTGTGGGACCCTGGGTGTTGGCTGATTCTTTTTTTGTGGAGGGCTGTGAAGACCAAGGGCACAATCTATGCATCTCTGGGCAGGGAAGGACTTTGGAATGGTGTGTGTAGCCTATTCTTAAAACTCCTAAATACACACTCCAGCCTGTAAAACTGCCCTTCCACAAGAATCTTCTAGTAACTTATTTTTGCCTGCATGTACGTCTGTGTGAGTGTCAGATTTTAGATTTACAGACAGTTGTTAGCTGCCATGTAGGTGCTGGGACTTGAACCTGTGTCCTCTAGGAAGAACAGTCAGTGCTCTTAACCACTGAACCATCTTTCCAGCCCCCCCTCCCACCCCCCCCACACACTCCTTTTCTGAGATAGAGTTTCTCTGTGTAGCCATGACTGGCCTGGAATTAGCTCTGTAGACCAGGCTGGCCTTGAACTAACAAAGATCCACCTGCCTCTGCCTCCCAGGTGCTGGGATTAAAGGCGTGCACCACCACCTTGAGTCTTAAGTAATTTTTTATCAGAATCTAAACCTTCTTGCTTAGAGGGAAGACCCAGAAGGCACAGCTCAGTGCCACCTATGGTCCCAGTGTAAGTGCTAGCACTGCCAGCTCCCTCGAGACACTTAGTCTTGGCCTTTGTGCATAGCCTACCTTCTGGTCATCTGAAAATCACGTTGAGATGACTCAACTTTAGAGCTGGTGTACCTGGCAGTGAACTATAACTGTTCAGTGGAGCCGGAGATAAGCTCCCCTTACAAGCAAGACAGAGGTAGGAGTCAGCACCATCTGGGTTTGGAAGGCAAAGTGTGGTGGGACCTGAATTAGCATTCTGTACAAACTCAGTGACTCAGTGGAACTCAGTTAGGAGCCTAGCACTACTTATACAACCAGGCCCTGTTGCTAGAATTAGAGTGTGAGAACTCTGCCACCAAGGGTGGGATGAACTGAGGCCACATGAGGTGGGGCTGATCTGCAGGCATCCATTCTCCCAGTTTTGCAGGATTCCAAAGCACCAGGCAAATGTTATCCTCTGCATAGCTCTCTCCCACAGACATCTTGAGAAGCCAGGGATGAGGCATGCCAAGGAAAAAAAAAAATTTCATACAATGGCACAGTGAGGAAATGAGTTTGGGGAAAGAAGTATCTTTCGCGTCCTGGTACACCATGCCCCTACTGTTCCCACTGCTCTCGCTGACCAGGGCTGCAACTGTGCTGTGGGCAGCCTAGCCAAGGTTCTTAGGCAGTCAAGCTTACAGGCATAGGCACACAAAGTCCATTTTCTGGCATCACAGTCTCCCTCTCAAGCAGCTGCCTCAACATCTCCCAGCACAGTTGTGTGCCACAGCACAGGGCTTTATTACTGAAGGGGGTGCTTAAACAGAAGGGCAGACAAGAAAACAGAGCAGGCAGGCAGAGGCCAATGGTCTGGATTTTATTGTTACCCTGTGTTTGGCTGGGTGCAGAAATGCCCTCCCCACTGCCAGTCCCCACTGGCCTCCAGGCCCACACAGGCAGCAGATGTTCTGGGTTACTCATAGCTGCTGCACTGGGCCTAAGGCAGGGCTGGCAAAAAGAGCACAGTGGGGCTCACCCTCCAACATGAAGTACAAACTCTTAATTCACTGTCAGACTTCACCAGGAGGTGAGCTGGTCAGGGCTGAAGGCACTGTGAGGGAGGAGCTTCCTGAAAATCTTGACAGCATGGCTGAGAAGCGGCGCTGCCAGCTGGGTTAGTGCATGGATGAGGCAGGATGGGAGGGCCTGCTCACTGGTAGAACTTCTTGCTGGAGCTGTTAGCATGGTCGAGGAGCAGCTGGCACGGGGTAAACTGAATTCCATAGGCAGACTCGTACTTCCGGAGCCGGTCTACTACTTTCTGGGCACCATACAGATCCACAAACCGGAAGGGCCCTGAGAAGACACAGTATTTCAGTGAAAGGGACAGTAACAAGTACAAAGATAGAGGAAGCCGGATTCCCAACCTGCACACTGACCTCCGAGACAAGGGGGAAAGCCAAGCCCAAACACCGCTCCAATGTCTCCCTCTGCAGGTGTGGCCAGGATCCCTTCCTGCAGGCACAGGACTGCCTCATTCACGAACCTCATTATCACACGGTATTGGATGTCTTCATCAGAGGAGCTGAGGAGAAGGAACAAGAAGGAACATTTAGCCAGAGAAACAACAGGAAGAGCTGGAGTGCAGCATGTGGGGTGCGGGTGAGCCCTAGGGAACCCAGTGGCCAGGAAGGACCACACCATCCTGAAAGATGACACAGCCCATCTCCTGGAAAAAGGGGTGGGACTTTCCCTAACTGGTATGAACACCCAAAATGGTCTGGCACAGAAAAAGTGCGATCATTTCCTGACAGCAACATCTGTGTATTTCCAAAGCTAACAAAGAGCAAGGGGGGTGCAGGGCAATGATTAACTTCAATGTAAGGGGGGGGGTGCAGGCGCCTGCATAATCCATCTCTCACCTTCAGTCACCAGACTCAAGCATCTTAGAGGGGGACTGAATATAGATCCCAGTTCCTTCACTGCCTTGCTGGGTAAATTTGGGCAAATGGCATAATCTCGCTGAGCTCTGGTTTTCTTATGATTGTGTCAAAGTCTAGAAATCATCAGTATCTAATCTTAACATCACAGTCTTAAGAAAGGCACTTGAAGCCAGTGGTGGCGCAAGCCTTTAATCCCAGCACTTGGGAGGCAGAGGCAGGCAGATCTCTGAGTCCAAGGCCAGCCTGGTCTACAGACAGAGTTCCAGGACAGCCAGGACTGTTACACAGAGAAACCCTGCCTTGAAAAACAACAACAACAACAAAAACACAGGCAAGGTTTGTCGCAGGCTTGGCCCACTCTCACCTGGACACTTGCACTGAGAGTACATGCAGGGCTTTTAGCTGTATAGTGTTTTGCCAGCTTCGGGCCATAAAGAGAACCAAAAAGGGGCCTCGGAGCTTTGAGCTACCAGAGAAATCATTTCTGTGCAAGCAGTCACTGGATCAACTTACACCTCAGGCTTGGCAGCCAGCCTCAGGTTTACCAGGATCCCATCCATTTCAGAGTTCAAGCTCTTATTCTTTGATCCCTCCTGATAGATGTAAAAGCCCTTCCCAGACTTGCGACCTGAGAGAAGAAAGAGACTGTGTTAGTCATTGCCCTTCACCCCAGCTGAGAACTCCTGTCTTCTGGACACTGTGAGCTTCTAGCATTCTGCTGCACTGCTAAGTGCCTGCGTCCAGCCAGCTGAGCCATTCAGTCCAACTGACAGAGAAGAGAGGAAGCACCTGGTGCATGGAAATCTGAATACGAACAAGAAAATCCACCCCTATCCCACCCCCAGACCTCAGTGTCCAGCTAGAGGCCTAGGCCCTAAAGGTGATTTTACTGCAGTCTTAATTGTATGTTCTGAATAGAAAGGTTGAACTCCCATGGGTGGCCAGACCACAGGGTTAAACCTGGATACAGAACTTGCTCCTATAGTGCCAGACCTTGGCAGGAGGAATATGGTGATCTATCTGGCATACATGGCAGAGCCCCATAAACCTAGACTATGCCTTTCCCCCTAATCTGCATGCTCAGCCTAAGAGATTCTCTATGTCCAGGGCTCTGTGTTTAGGAAACTCTCTCCTCCACACACTCTGCTCTCAGGCAGCTGCTCACAACTCTGTAAGTAACAGAGTTTACGCATGTCACCTGTGCTACTCACCCAAGAAGCCCTTGGAGACCATCTGCTTCAGCAGTTCCACGTTGCCACCTCCGAACCGCTCCCCAAAGGCTTTGCCTAGGTCTTCTGCTACATGCTGTGCTACATCCACACCGACTTCATCCGCCAGGGTGGCAGCGCCCACAGGAAAGCCGAAGCCTGTGGTCAAGGCGTCCAGCTTCTTAGGGTCAACCCCTTCCTGAGCAGGAAGTAAAGCAGGGGCTCAGAGCACAGCCATCCCCCACCCCCACCAGCACCAGGGTTGCCTGTCCTGAACAGGAAGTAAAGCAGGGGCTCAGAGCACAGCCATCCCCCACCCCCACCAGCACCAGGGTTGCCTGTAATTACCCACAGACATAGCCTGTGTGAAACCCACTTCTTTCCTTGGACATCACCTGGCCAGGTCCAGAACCAGCCCTTCACCCAGGAAAGCGTAAGCACAAACCCAGAAGCTTTCCCACGCCCTTTAAGAAAGCTTAGAGACAACCAGATCACTCAGTTCTTGCTTGTGATTCCAAATCTTAGGACTAAGGCAATGCCATAGCTACCAAGACTGGGAATGCTGGCATTCTGAGGCTAGGGAAGTGCCATAGAATGATCTGGATGGCCATGGAGGTAGAGAGAGAGAGAGAGAAAGAGAGAGAGAGAGAGAGAGAGAGAGAGAGAGAGAGAGAGAGAGAGAGAGAGAGAGAGAGAGAGAGAGAGAGAGAGTGTGTGTGTGTGTGTGTGTGTGTGTGTCTGTCTGTCTGTGAACATGCACACATGTGTGTGTGTGCATAGCAAAGCAGATACAGTGGTAGTCAGGCCAAGCAGGTTCTGGTCTGAAAGTCTCACCCCAGGGATATAAAAGCCGTGTGTCTGAGATTCTGGAAGGCCTTTGGCTCCTGCAATGCTCAGGAAGCTAACAGAGCAGAATTAACATTCTGCTTATTGGGCAGTCTCAGCCCCAAGGGAGGCACAAAAGGGCCTCCAGGGAAAATCAGTGGTATATTCTAGGGGAGCCTGTCCCTCATCTGGACATCTTCAGCTTGGAGAACAGAGTGAAAGATCTGACAAGGTCTCAAGCATTCCACAGAACAATACACACCTGGAGGATTCGTATGACTTCAGACATCATGGGAGCAAGACACCTGGTGGTGTAGAAGCCAGGTCCATCCTGCCGAGAGGAAGAAAGCTAATGGCCGGCCAGCCCTGCTTTGGTTGAACTACCCATGTCCACACCCAGTTTCTCTTTCCCACACTTCATTTCATGGTTTCAGCTGACTTAAAACTCTCAGAACGCTCATTGTTACCCTGGAAAGGAAGCCATCCTGAACAGTGTGGGTTTCATGTAACCTTTGATGTCTGGACTCACTGGAGAGGACCTTCCAGAGCCTAGACACTACCATACCTACCCCATCTCAGCTACTATCATCTCAGAGACAACCCAGTGGTCATTGTAGAAGCTGGTATCTCCCCTCCCCCCCCAAAAAATTAGGTCACACACAATTCTGCAGGCTTAGGAAATCTGCACCTGCCCCTGTGCCTTACCTTCACCACAATGATGACTTTGCCCTGCTTGAGACCCAC